GGGGCGATCGAACTTACCAATCGAAAATCACCGAGGACTCGAGGACTACGCAGCAATGGAAAAAGTAACATTGTTAGTGTAGAGATTGATCTGATTAAACTTCAAAAGTCTGGGCTATTAAATAGCAATTAAGGAACGCCGTTGATCCCCATCATCATGCTGACTGCTCTATGTTTACAGATAGAGGATCAAGGCTAGACCCAATAAGATGCCGGTGGCCGACGTGGAACTGGACTCCGTGGACCCCTGGAGCCCGGGCTACGTCACCCCGGCGTCAACGCCCTCCCCTCGGAGCGCGCGCTCGTGCAGCCCCGGCGGCCCCGATGGCGCGCCCGCCGTCCCGGTGCGCGGCGACGCAGCAGCCCCCGCGGGAGCGGCCGCGGCCGCGGCCAGGGCCCACCACGCCGCGCCCAGCAGCAGGGTGGTGGCCGTGAGCGTGAGGGAGGCGCACCACAACTACAGCCAGTACAGCTTCAACAGCCTGCTGACGGGCAAGCCCGCCGTCACGGAGGTGCTCAAGGACTTCAACATGACGGTGCAGCACGGCAACATGTGAGTGTAGACGACGATTAGGGCCGCGGAAGTGGGATGATTGAAGAGGTGCCGACGCCGCAACACGTCAAGCAACAAAGTGTTGACTTTGTAGGCGATCCAGGTGATTACTCGTCTCCGGGACTGGCCCGTTTTGCGTAAATTATCACCTAGGGACCGCGGCCGGACCGGATACGATGGCTAATTGCCACGAAAATAAGTGGCGTGCTGATTTGACGGTCGTCACCCGGACGACGACTTTGCCCCGCCCTGTAAACCGCTCTTCACTTGCGCCCCACTTATGGGCGAAAGAGTAAAAGAATTAACGACTCGCGAAAAATAAAAAGGATATGAAACAAGTTTGGCAGGCTTTGACAAATAGACAGGAGATGATGGGGAAGCCCGCTTCGCGAAAAGTACCGCTACGCGCCCCACAGCCCGAGCCTGTTCTTTTGAGGGTCCTAGCTACTGACCTCAAACGGACAAACGGACCCGCGGGGCGGGTTGGAATTTTGTTATTCCCGTCATCAGAAATAAGATGCGGTTGTGTCGGAAGAGGGGGGGGGGGGCTCAGTGCTAGAGGAAGGCCCAACACTACCCTCCTCGCCGCTCCTCTGATTTCAACGCGTGGCAGACAACTCTGATGACCTCGGCCTGTGACCTGTCCTGCAGATACGCCCTTCTGGGCTCCAGCGGCTGCGGCAAGACGACGGTGCTGCGCGCGCTGGTTGGCCAGCACCGCTTCACATCCGGGAGGGTGCGGGTGTTCGGCAAGGAGCCGCGCTCCCGCGGCGTCGGCGTCCCCGGGCCGACGCTCGGCTACATGCCCCAGGCGAGTGGCCGACACGCGCCCGCGCCCGGCGAGCAGAGCGCTACAAGCTACAATCCATCAAAATTAAATTTATTCAAATCAATATTCATTATTCGCCGATTCGTCTTCTTGTTTACGTCCGGTTCGAATGTCGCAGGAGCTGGCCGTCCCCGACGGCTTCACCATCCGGGAGACGCTCAACTATTTCGGCTGGCTGGCCGGCATGACGGCGGCCAGCATCGAGGAGAACAGCGCGGCGCTGCTGCGGCTGCTGGACCTGCCGCCCCGGGACCGGCTGGTCAGCAACCTGAGCGGCGGCCAACAGCGGCGGGTGTCCCTGGCCGTCGCGCTCCTCCACAGCCCGCCGCTCCTCATCCTGGACGAGCCGACCGTGGGCGTCGACCCCATCGTCAGACAGAGGTGCGCGGACGAGGAGGCGGTAGGGGTGAGTGGTTGAGTAATCAGTGGCGTTTACTGATGGACGGACACGTCTGGTTGTAGCATATGGGAGCACCTCCTGGGCTTGACGTCGAGCGGCCGGGCGACGGTCATCATCACCACGCACTACATCGAGGAGGCGAGGCAGGCGCACGTGGTGAGTGTGGTGGTGGAACGTGGAGCTGGTGTTGGTGACGCACTGAGGAGGCTAAAGGGCGCGCCGTGACCCTCTCCAGGCCGGCCTCATGCGGAGAGGCGCCCTCCTCGCCGAGGACACCCCCGAGTCGCTGCTCTCCGCGCTCTCCTGCGTCACGCTGGAGGAGGTCCTTCTCAAGCTGTGCCTCCGCCAGGACATCGACGAGGTGGAGGTGCAGAAAGTAAGTTCACCATGAAGTAGAGAGAGAGAGAGGGGGGGGGTAAGTCTCGGGAACGGCCAACTTCTGATTTGCCCACCGCACTTCAGATGCTGCACGCGGATGGGATGAACATGGCGCACGAGCTTGAGGCCATCAAGGACAAGTCCCTGAGGGTGTCCGCCAGAGACGAGGAGGAGGGCGGTCAGGACGGCGACGACGTCAAGGCCAAGCAGCATCTCAGGACGTCGCGAACGAGCACCAAAGTGAAGGCGTTACTCTGGAAGAACTTCATGTGGATCTGGAGGCACCGTATGTGAGTAGGGCCGTGTGCCCGGCCCGGGGCTGCCGCCGCCGACACCCCGCGCTGCGCCCCGCGTCGGCTCACCACGACGCGTCCGTCTCTTTGCAGCATCTCCACGACCCTCCTCTTTCTGCCGGCGTTCATCGCCCTGGTTTACACCGGCGGCGTCGGCCACAACCCCCGCGACTTAAACGTGGCCGTCGTGAACGGCGAGACGGACTGCGCGGACTGGAAGGGGGTGGGCCTCGTCGACTGCGCCGCACCCAGGCACCTGAGCTGCATATTCCTGGACCAGATGAGGGCGCAGTCGCTGCAGCCGGTGAGCCGATAGTGTCGGGTTGGTTGCCTGCCGGGAGCGGCGCCGTGCTCACCTCCCTCTCGTGCATCCAGGTGCTGTACGCCGAGGAGGCCGCGGCGGAGCGCGCCGTGCTGCGGGGCCACGCTTGGGGTGTGGTCCACTTCGGGCGCAACTTCTCCGACGCCCTTGTGGAGCGGGCGGGCATCACCGTCAGCGTCGGCAACCCAGCGCAGGGCGACGAGGCGGTCGAGCACTCCGCCGTGAACGTCAGGCTCGACATGTCCCGTAAGTCCGACCGTTTTACCAGTTCTTGCTGTGCCCTTCTTTAAGGGCCCGTCCCGTAGGATACGCGTTTAATCGGCGTCTTCTCCCCTGGCTATCCCCCACCCAGTCCAGACCATCGGGCACCTGCTGCAAATGACCCTGTCGACCGTCGCCTCGCAGGCCCTGGAGGTATTCAACAGCCAGTGCCAGGCCAACGCGCACATGATTCGACCTCCTCTCCAGGTCGGTCCAGAGTTCAAGCGTTTTTCTGTCTGCGACGAAGCTCTCGATTTCTTTTGAATCAACTACGTTTCATGTTGCAGTTTATGACGGATCTGCGTCCCTCGGATCGAGACCCGTCGTTCCTGGATTACTCTTTGCCCGGCCTCATACTGAGGTTTGTGATTCGCAGAGCCCAAGGAAAACATTTTTCACGCGATGACGTCATTGTGACCTGAGGCAACGATTTTTTGCACATGTGAGGTCACCGCTGATGTCCAAAAAAACGTCACGGTGACCTCGTTCTGATATGCGTGGCGATTTCGTGAGTAAAACGTTATCCTTGGGTAAGTTTCGTTCACTTGGGGTGGGCCACCGACTGCACACGGCTGCTGGGCGGGTGGGCCGACCCACCCCGCTGCAGGCGTCATCGTTAGAGTCGCCTCGAGAAACGTTCACTCTGGGGTCAACTTAGAGTAGAGGCAGTGGTCGGTGACCCATTGAAGTAATCGACAATGTTTCCTCTGGTTTTCTATTTTCAGTGTCGTGTTCATGTTTGGATTCACAACGACTATGTCAGCTCTTCTGCCAGAGAAAACGGACAAGATTCTCGAGAGATCACTCGTTTACGGTGAGAGCCACTCTATCCAAGTCCATTCACGAAGTTTCACTGGCGTCGGCAGACAGGCCGTATGAGGATGCATCGCGTCCCTGTTTGTAGCTACACGATTGTAGCTACAGCCGACAGTGCCCTGGTCAGCTTAAACTTGACCGTCTATAGACGAATTCATTACTTCCGCCAATGCTAGAATATCTACCAGAAATAAACAGCGCGTAGAACTAAAGCGAAAACGAAAGATATCAATGCCTCTCCGAAGCTCTCGCCTTGTCCAGGCGCTCAGAGGGACAGGGGGCCGCGGAGGCCCGATTCAGGAAAGCATTGCCTACCCTCCAGGCGTTTTCAGCGACAACCGTCGACCCACGCCTAGATTGACACGGCGTCACTTCTTAGCTTT